TACTACATAACCAGGCTGAAAGCTGTAAAAAAAAATTTGTTAAACACCTGGATATTATTTGTTTTTGCCCCATATGTATCTACATTTTTTTCTCATACTGATGTATTTTTAGTTTTTGTTTTTAAGATGTATGATTGATTTGATATCTGAACAACTTCTTTTTTCTCAGAGAATTCAGAAGAAAAACATTTTGAAGTTTACTATGTCAAGATTGAGGAACCAGGATTTCGAGATTTCCATGTGAAGCTCCAGTCTTTCATTAAATTCTATATCGATGCTGCCTCTTACATTGATGTGGATGATCAACAGTGGGATTTCTTTCTTGTGTATGTGTTTATTTGGGTTAAGTTCTAAGCTGTTCTCTCTCTAACTGTGGTATTAGCACCATTTTTTCTAAATGACTACCACTTATTGCATGATTATATGACCAACAGAACTGTGTTAAAGTAGTACCAATATGTTTTTGAAGCCTTTAGTTTAAAAATAAAGTTTTGTTTCATTAAATGAAGTAGACAAAGTAAAGACAACAAACTTTTCATTCACTTTTTTTTTAGAACTTTGTTATCAGTGTATCTGTGACAAAGAAATCCCTTGTACCTTAGCGAACTGATCACTCCACATGTCCCTCAAAGAGCCTTGCGCTCAATGGACTCAACACTTCTAGTGGTGCCATGTTTCTTCCTCAAAAGCTACTGTCTGCTGGCTTTTTCTGTGCACTGACCAAAGGTTTGGAATTCACTCCCCATTGATCTCAAACTGACATGCTACAAGAACTTTAAGACCTACCTGTTTAAAACTTTTTTTAGATTAGTTTGTCATTTTAGCTCTCATGTTATCACAGCGCCTTAAGCCTAGATTAGGTTTGTTAACAGAGTTTTATAAATAAAATTATTATTATTAACTTTGTCATTAAATCTTATAATTTAGTACTCAGTTTGTTGCATTTGAAAGTTTCAAGCTTTTACTCTACAGATTCGAGAAATACAAAGAGAATGGTGAGCATAAGTATGCTACAGCTGGATATATGACTGTATATAACTTCTACGCTTATCCTTCTAGAATCAGACCAAGGATAAGGTACTGTTACAAAATTATATACTTACTCTTCTAAGGTCAGGTCTTAGATTAAGGGCAAAAGAGCTGTGTCTAAAAAAGTTGCTTACACTACCAACAAACTAGTCTTCATTTTATGAAACATTTCTGCCACAAAAGAATCCAATTTGTTCAGAGCATCAATTCTGGTACTATTTCCAAATTTTCACACAAAAAATGTCTTTTAAAATAAATAAATTCTTTTACAAAGTGAATAGGCATAAGCAGTTCAAAAGATTCTTTCTATTTTCTTTTGTTTAGACCAGTAAAATTGTTATCTGAGATAAAATTTTTAATTAAAAAAATACAGTTATCTTTTTAAATTGGGAATCTTTACATGCTTACTTACTTAGATCCTACCATGCTGTTAGGAAAGAAGAAATCAATTGTACAAAAGGGGGGGGGGGGGGGTTAAATAAAAATACAACTCAAAATAGTGTGTCCTTTTTTTTTCAGCCAGGTTCTTATTTTACCACCATTCCAGAAAATGGGACTATGTGTTCGTGTGCTTCAAACATTTTACAATATTTGTTACAACAGACCTGAAGTATTAGACATAACAGGTAAGTGTCATTTGTAATTTTTAAAGACCATCTGCTGAGATTTTAGAGTCAAACATAGAAATCTTTCTTGCATGTGTTTTCAGTATTGTACTGCTTCTGAAAGCATCTATACAAAACTTATACGTGGCTCTTCTGCAATGAGATAAATATTATATGCATAGCACCTCTGCATTGAGATAAATATTAGCAGCCTATTGTATGTTTCTGTGAGACGGAAATATCATTGCATGAATTGCGCATCCTGAGGGTAGCAATAACATACAAGGGAAATGCAAACATATAACCTCATATAACTTGGCATTGCACCTTCATGGAGGATCTCAGTGCAGTGGATACCAGCATTGGTAGTGTCGTACTTCTATGGAGACAATTTACTGCCCATTGACTGGCACAGGATGATCTAAGTCTAAGTAAGTCTGCCTTGGCTACTAAAATTTTGGCCATCAACCTTGGGAAATAAGCTTAAAGTATTTAATTCATCTTATAGCCTTGTCCTGTCTTATTCTATCTTGCTGCATGGTTCAGTCTGCTTGTCATGTTCATTAAAGGAGTCGCTGAATTGTTGTTTCTTTTGTATATCGCAAAATAACTATAAAAAAAAAAAAAACATACAATATCGCAGCACTTCTAAGAACACAAATTGTGCTCTCTTGTCTTCATTTTTTCTAATTTCCAATTGATCTCTGTCAAAAACAATTCATTGTGAAAACAAAGTCTGCAAGGTTTAAACTACTAAATAGTACACATAGTATACATTTCTTGGTAGTGTTCATTTTGAAAAAAAGTCTTAGTACAAAAGACTTGATCTTCTTAACTCACATCATTCTTGATGTGCAGGGAATAAATTAAAACAATGAATCTTAGACTACTACCAAGTGATTTGCAAAGTACAATGCTATTTAATTCATACAATGGTTGTGGTTGGTGGTTGAACCAAGCTGACTTTGCTTCTCAGCACTTTTTTAACCCACTGTTCTTCAAGATTTTTTTCTGTGTATTTTCTACAGCACACAATTGAAGACAGTTTTTATATAACAGCACAAATGGCCCATTTAATAATGCATTCTCATCTTTGAGTGTGAAAGCAGAAATAATTGGAGAGATTTTACAGCAAGAGAATGTGAAGGCAAAGGAAACGCACATAAAGAAAAAAAAAAATATTTATGTAACATGCCTAATTTCTGTTTTGAATCCACATGTTCATCTTAGCACTTCAGGAACAATGGTAACTGCTTATAGAAAGAAAATATTAATAAGAATTGCATTGGAAATGGTGCATTCAGTCTGTACAGTCAAATTCCTTGGGATAACATTTTAACATCAGCTGCCATTATATTTTCTGGATTATTCTCTCTAAATGTTTTAAGACTTTAAAACAATTTCTACATATGTTCACTTATATCATCTGCCTTTAGTGCAAAATTTATAAGTCCATCCAGCAGTAAAAAATGTGGGGAAAAAAAAAACGTTAGTTTTGCAATACTAAGAGATGGAAATGAATCAATTATTATTTCATGAGATGCTAATTGTGATTCCACAGGACACTCTGTGTATGGTAGCTAAACCTGTATAAATGTAAACTTTGGTTGGATATTACACTTTCAACTTGTACAATCATATTGAAGTTAAGGGCTTTTACCATATGAAGCTTGAGGGGTTAAAGATTACTTTGGCATGTGTACGTGATAGACAGTCATGAACAGACTTATATTAAAGCAATAATTTTGTGTTTTATGACAACTGTTACAGTTACAGTTGCAAAATATTATAAGAGCAATTTAAAGAAATGAACAAAAAAAAAAGGTAAAATAATATTGAAGAGAAAAAAAATCTAATCCTACCTTTCTTGAGACTACTTAAAAAAGGTAATTTTAGCAATGCAAGATTAAGTCATGCTGTAAGAAAATCTGGATGATTCTAACTTGCTTATTGCATTTCATCTTTCCTAAAACTGCACCATGATTATGACATTTTCTTTTTTTTTTTAACTGTGAATTAGGTCATTTATGGTGTACTTGCGTTTAGGTCATAAGTCTTGATGGTTATTCTGACTAAATGTGTTGGTGTTATTAGTCTATTCCTCGAATTGTTGAATCAATAAGATCTTTTTTTTTCTCACAGTTGAAGATCCATCAGAAAACTTTCAGAGAGTCAGAGATTTTGTTGATGCCAGAAACTGCTGTAACTTAAAGAGTTTTCAACCATCTGAATTGAATCAGGGATTTTCACATGAGATGACCCATGAAGCACAGTTAAAACTCAAATTAAATAGGGTATGTGTACTTAAGGGCTAGTGTATCACAGGATATCTGGACAGTTAAAACTCAAATTAAATAGGGTATGTCTACTCAAGGGCTTGTGTATTACAGGATATCTGGACAGTTTAGGTTGGATGTCATCTGGGTTGTTGTGTTATTACTATAGAGAACCTTTTTATGAAAAAATTTTTTTTAGTTAAGTTAGACTTCATAGACTTAAAAACAAATGAATATTACTATCAGTAGCAGGCATACATATCGCATATATTAAGGAAACACTAGGGACCAAATGGGGCATCTTATCATTGACCTCATAGTGGCTGAATGCTTACGAAGGCTACTAATCAGAAAGATTGTCTAGTACATGGGCGTAGCCAGGATTTTTTTTCGGGGGAGGGGCGGGGTTTGGGGGGTTGGATTTTTTTCTAGTTTAGTATTAAAATTTCACCAAAAATAAACAAAATCAAAGCAAAAAATCATTCACTAAATTCTGATCCTCTCCCCCTGGCTACGCCCATGGTCTAGTAGTTAGTTCAGTAGCACACTGGAATTGCTTTATACTTTCTGGATGGTAGACTTTAAGATATTAGAATGAGGTGTAAGAAAGTAAATTTGTACATAAGTTTTAAAACCTCGTAATTACAAATTAAGTCATCACTGTGAAATCTCAAAAACAAGATTGAATTATATTTATAAGGATTACAATAGTTTACAAAGTAAAGTACACTAAACTTCTTTGTTAGCCTTTTGATTCTTTGACTGATACAGCACCAACTTTCTGACCTCACTGCGCACATCTATTAATTGGCTCTGCCTCTGAATGTCATCAAGGTCATTCATAACCTCAGTATTTAGGTTTTCAGTTTTGGCGATCATGTCTATGTAAATGATGGCAATACAAAAATACACAACTCTGGAGATATCCATAGTTCACTCAGAAACAGTAGGCTAAACCATTCTGGGTTAAAGACTTTGTCACATTATGTCATGTAGGAATGAAATGATTTGTTATTTAGGAAATGTTAACTCTACGCTACTCCAGGAAATAAGCTTTTTCAGTTGACTTTATTTAGTAATTCTTAACTCGTTTTGATTACATCCAGTTCTATGTGCAAAAGTAAAAATATTATTCTCGACATAGTTCTGATATCTATTGTTCATCAAATTATTGTGTTGATCTATTTCTCTTCATCCAAATGATTGTTTCTAGTTCTACTGTCCTCACATGGGCAGAAGGCATACATTAGGGTGAAAACAAAACAAAAACCATAAGATTATCATAATAATTTCCTAATGAGATTGCCAGTTAACTTTCCTTAATATGCCCTCTGCCTGACACTTAAAAATTATATTATGTTATTTTATTCAATTTATAGATTAAATATTGTGCTGTACTCTTTTAGATATTAAATTGAAATTGACTTGTAATAAATAATTGAATCTAAGAGTTATTCTCCTTTTTTTTTTGCCATAATTCGACTGACTTTGAAACTTGGTATACTTTCTTGATCATAGTTTCTCTCTTTTTTGTTTTTAGCCTAAATATTTGACTCTTGTAGACTTCTTTTAAACAAAGCAAAAAAAAAATAATAATTTTTGACTACTTTCCCTACTTTTTTATGGAACAGGCATCATCTAGTAGTAGCAGACAAATTGTTTGTGAGTTGTTTGTTTTTTTTTTTGGGCGGGGGGGGGGTGTAATTTATAATGAAATAAATGATTGAGGGATGAACTTCTATAAACATGGCAAATAATATATAAAGATCATGAGGTTCTTACAGGGATACAGCATAACTAATAAAGATGCCTAATCTCAAAATACTTTATTAAAAGAAAAATATCCTCATTACCAACTAAACCTGTACTATGTATTTTTTAGATTCTAAAACAGCCATGATGAAAAAAAATCAAAAGTTTCACTAAAATAATTCCAGTGGCTGCAAATAGCATCTGCTATTGTCCATATTAAATGGCTATCCCAAGCATCATTAATTAATTGGAAATGTTTTTGGTTTAATGTAATTGTGCTTTTTTAAAATGTTCGAAATTTATCCTGTTTTAAATGTCATGCAATATTTAAGCACCTTTAAAAAAAATTGTAACTCTGACTGTTTAAGTACATTGTCTTATTTTAATTCTTACTATGTAATGGAGTTGGCTTTGTATAGGCCTTTATTTTATCAATGGGTATTTTCTGATTAGTGCCATGGTCAAACTGATCTAGTGTATATATGGTATTTTTGTCATTGCCAGAAGTGGTAATGGATGTAAGCACTCCACTACCTATAAAATGCTTCCTAATGGCATACGTCTCAAATAGCCTCTGACAACCAGTCCAGCTCCTGGCCTTCACGTGTGGTTCTATTATTGTGTCTGGCGGAACTGTTCTCACTAACAGGAGAAGGGGCAAAGGCCAGCAACTGGCGCCTTAATCAGTAAGCTTTGGGCAGGAGGGACTCGTTAGCCATGGCTGGCTACCTACCTAGGAAAAGGAAAACTCTGAAATCAAACCTCTGTTGCCTTGCAGCTATACCCAAACATGGGAAGGCTTTGGGAGTCAACCCTGAGGAAAAATCAGGAGCTGGCGACCCTAAGGCAGTTTGCAGCACCCAGTGCTACACTCTGGCTGAACCTGCGACGCCGCTGACCCCAAACTATTGGCACTGCCGTTCCTTTGGATACATCAGCTGCTTGGAGTGGGGGGAACTGATTTGTGGGCAACATCATTCCAACCACAGCTAATGCCCACTCATTCATCTCATTTCCATGAGATGATTCATAGTCGCTTCGCGACTGAAGGAGGCCATAGTAAACTAGCCTAATAGTTAACTGACTGCTGTCATGTCAGAGCCAGTTTTATCAAGGAAGATTTCCAATGAAGAATGAAATCAGTCTATTACTCAATCAATAAATAACATTGTTTGTAAACACACACAAAATTCTGTATTTGTACTAAATAATTATTTTTTTCTATTTAGTTACAAGCAAGAAGAATGTATGAGATCCTAAGACTTAAAGCCACAGACAGAGGAAACAAAGAACACTACAGAGCCTATAGGCTTGATGTGAAGAGAAGATTAAATATACCATTCTTGGTAATCATGTTTTTTTTTACCGTTTATGTAAACAATGTTTAAACAATTCAATATGCAGCAGACTGCATTTATTTTGTTCTTGGTCAATAATTAATAAGTAAAAAGGGGAATTTCTTTTAGAATTTTACATATTGTCATGATAGTGATGTCTTGCCACATGTAGATGAGAATGGCTTGCGTGATGAAAATTGTTTACGGTGAGGTAGATTTGCACTGCATTAACCTAAATCTAGAGATATTTCAGTGCAAAAATCTAGAAAGCAAAGTTGCAAAAATACATTAAAAAACTCAACCATAACTAACAATATATTCAAAAACAAGCTAATAAAAAAATACGCAGAAATATATAAATAAAGGCACACTTATTATTCTGTATGCTAGGTTACATTTATAAAAGTGCTCCTTTTTCCTTTGCCATTAGAGCATGGAATGAATTGCCTGAATCAGTCAGGAAAACAATGAATTAGCAAAATTTAAGTCTAATTAACATGCATGACTAAACGATACGGGTAGGACTTAATTGTCTTCTTTTTTAAAGGCAAGATAAGGAGATAACACTGGGCTATTGTTTTTTTTAATTTTTTTTTGTTTTTTTTTTATATGATGAAATGTGCTTTGTATACACCAGTTCTGCAGCTCAAAGGAAATATTTTGGCTCTAGCAGACCTTCCACCAAGCATAGGCAGAGCCCTTTATAGATTTGGGGGGGGGGGGGGGGGGTACAGTTGAAGGGTTGAGAAACTAGGGAAGTATAGTTTATAGTTTAATATCTATCTTTCATTGTTACAATATTGTTTCACACCAAGTATTTTCAGTATTTGGATTTTGTTCATATGTACTTTTTTTTAGTAAAGCTCAAAGTCTAGTTAAAGAAACTTTAAAATGAATACCATAGAATATTACATAGTCTGTAATATGCGTACAGGGAGTGTGAGTAATAAATTTTCATTAAACATCACAAAAATTTCTACAACATTGCTTAATGTGAATTTGGGTTAGTATTTTATCAGCCAGAGCTGTTTACCTTATCACCAATATTTACATTTGGTGGTAATAATAATAAAACTAAATGAGTAGATAACAAAATTTGAAACCACTGAAGTATTTTTTTAGGGTGCCTGGCTGGAACAATTTATTTATTACAAATGATTGAACTTCAGACATCTTTTAGCTTGTAATTGTTATTTATTTTACAATTTATTTTTTCTTTTCGATCATTCAGTCAATATAGGGTTGAAAAAATTTGTTTAAAAAATTGTTACAATTGAAAGTATATTTGTGTTTAATTTTTTTACACAACAGTCTTTGTATATGACACAATAATCAGCTCAGCCATATTAAAAACTCTTAGTTAAAAATATAAATTTTGTTGATTTCTTGACTTATAATTTCTTATTTTTCGTATTCCCACAGAGAAATAGACGCACTTACAAAAAGCTAGAAAAGAGCCTTAGTGATGAAGAATTGTCTCAGACTTTAGGGTTGATGAAGAAAGAACAGAAATTCCAGTATTTGGAGAATGCATTTCAAGAAGAATTGAACTCATATCAACATGTTCTAGACAGATTGTCAACCTTTCAGTAACATTCTCCATATTAACTTGCATTTCTTTTAATCATCTCAGCGACATCGTGATGTTGATGGACATACATTGAACATCTAGCCCTTGTGTTTTACTTATTCAGTTAGTTTCCAATTTTCTTTGACTTTTAGGCTAACATAGAAGATAGAATTTGCTTTTAATTAGTTATTGTATTTAAGGTCTTCATGAATTATTGAACTGGTGTCAAATTAACCAATGTATCTTAGACCTACATGAAAGACTGAATTTGGGTCAAATTAGTTTTTATATTTTAGGCCTTAATGAATGATGAATGTCAAATTAGTTAGATCTACATTAATTGTCATAGTTTTTTGTGATACAAAAAGCAATTCCAAGTGAATAAGTAAACATAAGTCTAAAATGACACTTTTTTTTTGTTGTTTTTACGATTGAGGGTCTTGTGATCATCAGTGAGTTGTGTTGTAAATCTTGTAACTAAGGACTGATCCATTACAGCTTAGCATGTCTTCATAACAAATTCAAGCCTTCACTTTCTTTTTAAAATGGCATTCAAGACTTTACCATTCAGCTACCAGGTTGCAGTATTTAAAGTAAATAATTGTCATATCATGACAAGAAGAAAAATAGACATTAAATATAGCCTTTATTATTGTTCTCATTATAATGAAATATAGGATATAATTAATTCAAACATCTCATAAACAAGAGTTATACAATTTTATTGGTAAAATACAATTTGAATAGAATAAAGTTGCAAATATGATATAAGAAAACAAACAAAATAAACATTTGATTGGTTGAACAAAATGTAATCAAGTTACAGATGAAATAAAAACAAAGTATCATAGTGCCGCTGACAGTGGATGAACAACATAGCATGCTGTGATATATACATCCAACTCAATCAACTTTGAAGAGATCAAAACAAAAATATTCTGAGCAAATTATGAAAATGCAAAGCAAAAAAAAAATAACAAAACAGAGAGATTGTGTTAGAATACTGTCTGTTGTGACATCAACAGTTACACAGAAACTCACGCCCAAATCACACAAAAGTGACCATGTATTGATTACACAGACAGTATTGTCATCAATTACAGAGTTAGTAGAAGAAGGGGCTCTCAATGTTGTTTTTTTATCTTTTTGGACTTGAATTACCTCCCCGTGAATTATCATTTGAAGTGTAGATCAGAGTGATGTGCATGCAGAGCTACTTAAAACGAAATTGGATAAATTATAACATTTCTATCTATAGAATCAAAATAAACCTGTGTAATTGCTGTTAGTATTAACTAAAGAATACTAACTGCCATCCACAATTGCTAATCCTTTAGCTGTTGAATAACACATACTTCCCTTTTCACATTGCATTAATAAGCTTTTATTTATTTTATTTTTGATATTAGTGAACTGAGAATTTTGTTTTAAAAATGCTTGAAATATAATAAAATGAAACTGATCAGTAATGTTCAACCCTAGAGGCATGGGCCAGGTCCTGTCCTTGAAACTAGTGCTCTTATTGCAGGAGATGTGCACATTAAGAACAAAAAAGCTGACTCTCTCCATTGGAAAGTCTCTCTATTTGTATTTATTGGATTTCATTTTGGGCTTTTTTAATATTCATATTAAACTTCAGTACTTGTATAAACTTCCAGTATGTATTGTTTATATAATGTTCTTTTGGAGAAATATTTTATCAACCACCTGTGGTGTTATATGTATTTTTTAACTTTGTTTTCTTCTGTCCTGAAGTATTTCTAGTGATTATATCCGTTGTTTTTTTTCTAGTTCTCAGTTTATTAACCCAGTTGATCATGAACTGTGTCACTAGTTTACATCATAACAAATAAACAGTGTTCTGAGTGATTCCAAAACAGTCTTTCAAAGCTTGAAAAACTCATATACTTCCTATGTGAAACAAATCAGGACTTACCTTGTAAAGCTCAACAACAATACCAAGAAAACTTCTTCAGCGGATCCCAGCACACATTAAAAGTGACACATTTGCCAATATTTGGAGAGCAATTAACAATTCCACTCTAAAGGAACGAATAGTGAGTATAATGAACCTAAAATGGACAGGCTCTCATCCAAATTACAAGAAAGATGATGCCTAATATAAGCTATCCCAACACAACTAAGGTCTTTTTTTTTTTTTGCATCAGAACCAGACACCACAGAATGAGACAACAAATGTTCAGAAGCTAAAAATTGGGACTATTGAAATTCGCACTTAAGGAGTGTCACAAGAGAATGCTGACCATGTCCTACAATTCTGCATTCTCCATGAGGAGTACCCCGAACAAGACACTGGTCCCAAAACACCCCTGTAGAAGAAAAAGTATATGGAGAGATGCATGATCAGAATTTTAATGTGCAGTTCATCTCAGATATTGGACTAGTCATCTGAACTCTCCAACAGAATGATTGAGAAGGTACAAGAAGAAAAAGGAGAATTTTATAGCATATCCCTATGTGTAGATTCTATTTTTGTCATTTATTTTGATTCTGTCATTTTCAAATGTTATCACCTCATGGGATTTTCTCAATAGTTGTTGATACCATTTTGGTCTTGTGGTTTTTATATGTAAGGGGGAAAGTTGTTAAATTACTTGAAACCAAATTGTATTAACTTTAAAAAATATAACACTTTAAAAAATCATATAAAATGTATACATAGA